ATAAAATAAAAATTTTTAAAATCCCCAAAACAACCCATATCCATGCCTCTCAACATCCAGCCGCTTTTGATATCTCCAAAACATTTCCCCCGCATTATTTTATCAAGATATCAATACCGGACAACGAGAGAAATGAGCGCCGTGTTTTATACTATCAGGTGGAATCAATAACTCAATATCGTCCCAAACTGGATACTGTATTTTAATGTAAAACTACAGCTGACACAAATCCGATAACCGGATTTGCATAATCGCTTATAAATATGCATGTTGTTGCTTACTTTTGTTTCGAATTTCAAGTAAAGAAAACGGGGTCAGAAAATCAGGATGAATTTAAAAAATTTTTTTAATGAGGTTCTTTTTTTTCAGTTCCCCGAAACAACGCGTTTACAAGCCTGTAAACTTTGATAGGAGCAAAACACACGTCTTTTGTGAATAAATTGTTTAGAAACTTTGTCACTTACAGCAATTTGTGCAGTAAAAGGGGAAGTTAGAACATTGAAGTTATTGGTTCTGTTTTGTGTTCTTTTCATCGTCCTTCTAATAGTCCTCACCATTGTCATTATCACCATCACTGTCATGGTTGTATTCAGCTTTGTTACTGTTATTATCTCCGTCAACATTGCCTTTACCAGTCATCGTTATCTTCATCTTTTTTTTAAGTCGTCGTCATAATCGTCATTCAGCTTAAAATGTTAATACGTTTCTTTTGTTGCAATCTGAACTTGTTTGATTCTAGTTTACCGTATATATATATATATATATAATTTTACGTCAGTGTTTGTGTTTCTTGGGCAGCTTCTTTTTCTTGCTTTCATTTTGGTATTTTTGCTCTTGTTCATATTTTTGTTGCTTCTGTTGTTGATCTTGATGGTTTCAGTCTGTTGATAGCTGACAGTTTCAACATCTCTTCTCAGCTTCCTCATTTCAGGACCATGTGGTGTTTTTAAATCTGAAAATGAAAATGTACCTACTCTCTTAGAAAGAATGATTCTGATCCTTTACAGATTTTACATTCAGGCAATAAGCTGAATATTGTAACGTCAATGTGGTTGGTTGGTTGGGGGGGCTTTTTGGGGGGGAAGGGGGGAGGTGCTCTCCTTCTTCTTTTTTGAAGTTACACTTTCCGAATCTATTCCTTTTAAAATGTATCTGCAAGTGTACTAATTCGCCTCAAGCTACATCATCAACTTCAACTTCAACTTTAACCACAACTTCAACAACAACAACAACAACAACAACAACAACAACAACAACAACAACTGGCAAAAATCAGGACCGGTCATTTCTCTGGGCTTAGGGCCTACAAAAATAGAACAGACAAAACATCGGACCCAATA